GCCGACAGCGGAAATGACCAACAGCGAGAGAGAGAGAGCACGGTGGTGGTGGAGCAACTTGGGCGATCCATTGTTTGAAGTTATTATTGGTGCAGTCAATCGAGTCGAGACGAGTCCGGCTGCGGACCCAATCATCGGTCGGACTTGTTATTGCCATTCCCCCATAGGATATCGCCTGATTTTTGCCCTTTTTCCCCAAGACCAGGACCGGGACGGGGACTCTATATAATTTTTGCTCTCCACTTCTGTTTGTCTTTCCTTTTTCGCAGTTGGCATGTGAGCGTATAATTTGTGAAAATTATTTGCTCTGCTGTCGTCCTGCAAAAGGAGCCCGAGCCCCTTGATCGGACTGCCGTTGCTCGTCTCCGTGTTGCCCGGAAGGGCGGAAAATATTTTTTCATCATTGCATCGCCGGGACCAACCGGTCAGGGACGACGACAGGAAACGTTGCGGTCGCCGCCTCCAGCAAAAAGGGTTTAAATTTTAAATTAAGCTCCTTTATTGCTGGCTAAAAGGGGGAGAGCATCCAGGAGGAGCAGCCAGGGCCAATACCTCTTGCGGTGCGATGATTGTCAAGCCCTTTAATTGCCTCAAGTGACCCAAACGGAAAGAAGGAATGGACTTTAATTGGACCAGAGATGATTTTCCGATCAGTCCTTCAAGTGGACAGCCAGAAGAGGCTTCTGCTGGCTGCTAAGCCACTTGGAAAGCCCTGAAGAGGAATGGATACTAAATATTTGTCTGCCAGCTTTATATTTTAATCAAGTTTATGAAAATGAACGCCTCTGCCAAGACAAACTTCAGACAATTTCACGCCTCAACTTGAACTCTGGCCATTTGAAAGTCAGTGAGCCAACCACGAGAGCCAGGACTCTCCGTTACAGCCAATTCATTACAGAAAGTAGATGGGGGAATAGGGGATGTACTCTGGGTTGACAACATGCTTCCAGCCATTATGCCAAAGCGAAAAGAGCTAGGACTACTGAATGGAAAAAAGGACGTCCCCCCCACAAAGCAACAAAGGGAATCGGGAATGAGTATCCGCGAAATGGTGTGAGAGGCGCTGATGGGGCGCTGATTTTAATGCATGAAAGAAACGACAGCATGGCAAATAAGAGTTGGCGGTTACACTGCCTGAGGCCACTGCCACAACAGCAGCAGTGGCCATAATGAGAGCTGCCACTGTCACATCGATGGCCGTGACCAAGCCAGAGGGAGGAAGGAGGAGGACTACTACCAAAAATTATCAACGAAAAATGTCGCCAAAGAGAGCCGCCGCCAAAGCATCTTGGGCCGTCTGGTCGGAAGTCTGGTAATTGGAAATGATGCTCGAGTCGCACTTAAGTTGCGGGCGAGGGATTAATGATGCTGCAGCCAGAGATTGTTGTCCAGCAGCAGCAGCAGAAGCAGCAGCAGGATGACGATAATGATGGTTGACTGCGACAACGTGTTGCCGCTAAATGAATTGAATGTGAGATGCCTTTTAGCTGAGATTAAGCAGAAGCAACAGAAATAGCAACAGCAACAGCAACGGCAACGGCGCCAATTCCAATGGCAACTAACTCACTCAGACAGAAGCAAATTCAACTGTGGAATGCCAGAGTCAGAGCGCAGAGCCCAGAGCCCAGAGCCCTGAAGCATTCTAAGCCCTGAAATGGCATTTCATCTTTTTAATTGAATTTTAATTTGTTTAGAATGCGCTTAGAGGCATTGCACGCCAAGTGGCCAAGTGCTTCTGGCCAAGTCCGCAGTCCGGACACGCCCTCACTTAATTTACCATGCAACCCATCAACACAGCCCGAGCACTACTTGCAGTTGTTGTCTGGCAGCTTTTCACAAATCGATTAAATTTAATTTGTTTTCCTTGCCGGCTTTCTCCGCTGCCAGTCATCGTCATCGTCTCTTTTTTGCACTTCCTCCGTACCGTACTTTCCTTTCCGTTCCGTTCCGTTTGGGGAAAGCTTAGTTTTTAGCAGTAATTTCATAATGAGTTGACTTTATGCTGGCCAGGAGACCAGTAGACCAGGAGCAGGACCAGGACCAGACCGACTCCCAGGGCGCAAGCTCTGTCCTACTCCCAGTGCCAGATGCAGATGAAAATTTTCGCTCATTGCTGTTGGCAAATAAAACTGTTCACGCCAACATTAAGCAACTATGAAGTGTGGAAACTAACGAAGGGAAAACTTCACGTCGGAAATAACAGGACGGATGGAAAATATATAATTTAAAAGTTTTCCAAAATTATTTAATTAAACTAAATTTTATTCCTCAATACCTGCTCCTGGCTTTTGCCCAACGAGCAGTGAAAGTCGCATATTGTCGTCCCATTTTGAGGGATTTATTTCGAGCATCGTCCCATGGCTGCAGGGGATTTTCCGCTTTCCTTTTCTGTTCTTTCCTTTTTTTTGTTGTTTGTTTCTTTTGTTTTTGGCCCATGGACAAGTTTTGTCGGTTGGCAGCATACTTACCTACAATTAAAATCCCTCGCAGTTGGAATGTAAAAATAATTATCAAGAAAAATACGAATACAACGTGAAATGCAAAAAGGAAGATTTTTTTCATTTTTGTTGTTGTTGCCAAAGAATCTTATACAATAATAACAATAATATCCTCTTTTTTGGGAGTGAAATTAATTAAAAATGTTCCGCTGTTTATTCTCTGTTGCTTCTTTTCAGCTACATTTTCTGGGTGTAGAGAAAATATGTTTAGTACATAAAAAGAAAAGAAATAAAGCTTTATATTTGTTGGTGACTTGAATTTAAATGAAATTAAATTATAATACAAGTATACATACGCCCAACATTACCCAGTATATTTACACATTATCATAAACCTTTTCGGCCTGTAATTTAATTGTTTCTTTCACTCCCTTTTCGTTGGCACAGTTGAGCATTTATTAACTGTCAAAACATGCCACGTCAGCCGGCAAATCAGACATCAAAATGCGCGTTTCTAGGAAAAACATTAAAGATAAATTTCACCTGCAGCTCTGAAGTGTGTGTGCCCCTTATGTGTGGAACGAAGGATCCCCTCCCGAAGGATGGCATGGACAAATAATTTTTTCATATGAGAAATTAAATGAAACTTTTTCGCGCATACAAATGTGAAAATGTCTGGCATGTGTGAGAAAATGTCAAGAAACGAATGGAAAGAACGGCAAGCCTGGAAAAAGCAGCACAAAATTTAAAAGCGAAATATTTAAGCGTGCAGCATGGCGTATGCGCAATTTTCAGTATCATTCTCTTTTTTTGTTTTTGCGATTCCCCGCCTGCGTTTGAGTGTGTGTCAGAGTGTGTGGGCTTCGCTTTAATGGCACAATTTCTCTGCTCAAGAGATAGAGAGAAAGTGAATCGCTGGCTGTCTTCTGCATGCAACTCGCGTATTCGATGGGAAAATCTTGCGATAAAATGTTGGGCAAACTTTCCTCTTGCAATGAATACATTTGAGAGGACTAGTTGTATGTGCTGCTGCTGCTCATTTGCATTTGGCCTTGTGGAAAATGTTTCTTGTCATTACCACACCCCCACGAACACAAAAGAGAGCCGAAAAAAACAAAGGGGGGGAGGAGATAGGATAAAGGCTGCAGCTGCAGCTTCTGCTGCATCCGCATCCGCAAAAATGTCAACAAATTGAATGTAATTCCTTTTAATTTCAAAGCAGTCTTAAAGTCCTTGCAGGACTCTATCTCGCTGCCATTTTCTGCACTTTCTTTCTGCCTCCTTCTTCTTCCTTTCTCTCTCTCTCTCTCTGTGTGTAGCACGTGGCAAGCTGTCGTGAAGCAAATTGCCCGAATGAAGTCGCTGCATGAAACGCGGCAACGCAGCCGCGTGCCATGAAATTAAGTTGCAAGCTGCAGGATTTGCTTTCAAGTTTCACAAAATTTTCCGTGCCACACACACACACACACACACAAAGAGGTACAAATACATACACAGTTGCACAAGGGACACACGCTAAGGTCCTTGGCTTCGCTTCGTGGATGCTAACACGCGTTTTTGCCGTTTCTTGTAGCTTCTTGGCTGCAGTCGGATAATGTCACGCTAATGCCACCAGCTTTGTCCTGCTTAATGTTGCGTCTAGTTATTGGATTTCGGCTGTACGCTCACTTTAAGGTTCTAGGTGGAGGGAAATTGATCAATAGTCGTTTGAAATGGAGTCGAAATCGCGGCATATGCTAAAAATATACTCGATAGTTTTTGAAAGATGGAATCAGTGGTGGCTTTGTAATAATTTGTCGAGCATTTGCTTTAACACTTACCCATTTCCTGGGCTCTGCCTTCTAGTGCACACAAAATATTTGTTTTAGTAATTTTTGGGTAAAGAGCACAAAAACATATCAAGGTAAGAACTGTAGAAATAATTTCTATACTCAACTCTAAATATCATTTTTTTGCATGTTTAATACAACCAGTAAGCTTGTATTTGATCTGATCTAGAACAGCCATACTGTCATGTGTCTGATGGAGGCAGTGAAACACCCGTTGGATCCGCAAGAAAAAGCGGTTTCCTCAATAGCGAGAGGATTTCTTATTCTGTGATTCAATTGCCAACTGATACAAATTTTCCAACTGATATTTTTTAATCAAGGAAAAATTGCGGTGCATGCCCTTAGAATGCCTTTGTCCCCCTCTCATTTTTAAAATGGAATACCAATTGAAGCAAAAGGAACTTGATGACGATTTGACAGAAGTATATTGGAAATATCTTTATCTGCGTTACGCTTAATTTTGCAGAAAATTAAATCCAATCTCATACTTTTTATTACGCACATTCAGCAATAATATCAGCAATTTTCGCCATTCCTTTCAGGACACTTTTCTTGTCAACCGCACAATTTGCGTGTGTGTCCAGGATAAACGTATATATTGCTGATATGATAAATGTGTATAAATTATGCACATGCAGACAGAGTATGAAACCCTATAAAAGCGCCGGAGGCGAAAGCCCGTCGCCACACACACAAAGCCAACACAATCCGCCGAGTGAACGAAGCGAAACTGAGCTTTGAGTCAAAGTGAAAGTGGCCATATAAAATGATTAAGTTGCAAGTGAAAGTTATTTCATGGGTTTTTATAATTTTAACAGGATTTTTATGCACGCCACAAATTGAAAGCATAAATACCAATTTCCTTGAGCTGGCAGCCTTCGAGGACTTTCTGCGGTCGCAGCACTTGCAGCAGTCGCTCGTAGTCCGTATCAAAGGACGAGATGGCGATGGCGACGAGGATGGCGACTGGAAAATTGAATGCCACCAGAAATTGTTGGCCAACTATCGTGTGCAATTTTATCAGCCAGGAATTTCCCACAATTTCGACGATCTCATGTACTATGGGGCGCCGCGTACAGCGGTTCTGGTGCTAAAGTTCGAGCACCGTCTTGTCAAGCAGTGGGTCTATACAGTGGCCTCTAAGGCTGGATACTTCAACAATTCACTGGCATGGTTTATGCTTGGCACCAGTCGGGCAACCCAACTAGATGAGGCACAAATTACAGAACATTTGGGGGGCTACAAGATGGGAATTGATGTGGATATCACTGTGGCCTTGAAGGCCAGAGATAAGTTGGGCAAATAATGAGGTAACTTTGTGGGAATGCTGGTCATATTTCCGATAACTTGCAGCACCTCGTGGCGGCTTTATGATGTGTACAGGATTGATCAGCAAGTGTCAAGTGCCCCCCTGATTGTGGAGAGAAAGGGAGAGTGGTCTCCAGCGCAGGGATACAAGCTGATGGACACCTTCCGCAGGAGCTGGATAATTCGAAGGCGCAACTTTCGCAATGTCACCCTGCGAGGCAGCACGGCGGTAGGCAAACTTATGGCACACCCTTTTGGGTAGCGGCTTCTCTCATCTCTCCTCCAAATGAACACAGGTAACGGAGAAACCTTCGGGCTATGATGACATGGCGTACCTGGCCAACGATAAGCAGCTCCTGCAACTGGATCCCATGCAGCGAAAGACCTATCAATTGTTCAGACTCGTCGAGCGGATGTACAATCTCAGGTGGGAGTGGGTCAGAGCGGCCTCCAAAAAGTGCACCAGAGTACGCGCTAATAAGCCAACTTTTCAGCCTGGCCATAAGCTTCACGGACAACTGGGGCCAGCAGCTGGCCAACGGCAGATGGTCGGGTGTGATGGGTCAGATAACCAACGGGGAGGCCGACTTTGCCGTGTGTCCCATTCGCTTTGTACCCGAAAGGCAGCTCCATGTGCAGTATTCACCCGTTCTCCACACCCAGCCGTGAGCAGATACTTGTTATCCTTCGATTAGGCGGTGGTCCAACTCAACCCTCTTTTCTTGCAGCATTCACTTTTTGTTCCGCCATCCGCGGCACAGTCACATTCGGAACATATTCTTTGAGCCACTTAGCTCTCAGGTGTGGTGGTGCGTCCTGGTCCTGATTACATTCAGCATCCTTCTGCTGGTGCTCCTCATCCGCCATGAGGCACTACAGAATGGAAATCTTGTGGAGACACGTGTGGCCTTTGTGTGGTTCACCATGCTGGAGACTTATCTGCAGCAGGGCCCGGCCACCGAGCTCTTCCGACTGATGTCCACCCGTTTGCTGATCAGCGCCAGCTGCATCTTCAGCTTCATGTTGATGCAGTTCTATGGAGCCTTCATTGTGGGATCCCTGCTCTCGGACAGCCCCAGAAGCATTGTCAATCTGCAGGCGCTGTTCGAGAGCAACCTGGACATCGGCATGGAGAACATCTCGTATAACTTTGCGGTGTTTGGCAACACCAGTGGACAGCTCGTAAGAGATGTATACAGCAAGAAGATCTGTCGATCTGGAGAGCACAATGTTATCACCTTGGAGCAGGGAGCCGAGCGGATTATAAAGGGTCGTTTTGCATTTCATGCGGCCATCGATCGTCTGTACAGGCTGCTCCTGGAGATGCGGATGGAGGAGCACGAGTTCTGCGAACTCCAGGAAATAATGTTCAATCCCCCCTATGCGGCTGCCTCCGTGATGGCCAAAGGCTCACCCTGGCGCGAACATCTAGCCCATGCCATTCTCCACCTGAAGGCCACTGGCCTGATGCAGTACAACGACCGCTTGTGGTCGGTGCCCAAGCCGGACTGCAGCCTCTTCAAGGCCTCCCAGGTGGAGGTGGATCTGGAGCACTTTGCCCCGGCTCTCTTCGCCCTAGTGCTGGCCATGATAGCCAGTGCATTGGTGTTTCTGCTGGAGCTGATGTTCTCCAGGCTGGCTCCCTTCCGTCCAAGTTAAGATGGGTGTGGGCCGCCAGGCGCAATGTCCATTTACGTAATCAGCTTGCAGAGCGCCCAGCTTGGTCCTGGCACGACTTTCGGCTACAAATTTGTGTCGCTTTTAATGTTTTCTGCATTTTTAATAATAATAAAAAATTTGTAATAATGTCAGCTTCGGGCGCTTGCAGCTATTCCCATTGCTGGTCTCTCCAACGAAGAACAGCGCAGAAATTAAAAATTCCATTAAACTGCAAACACTTGCATGTACTCTCCCGCCACCATCACCATCACCCTCACTATAACCCTCATCCTTCGCCCTCCCCATCACCCTGGTATGGGGGTCAAGCCAAGTTTTCTACACGAAGCAAGCTCTTCATTTAGACTTAATTATGAAGGGGCCATAGCCTGGTGGAGGACGAGAAGAAGTGGGAGAATGTCACTTGTTTTCTATTAACAGACAAGCTTTTAAGGGGGAAAACCCCCTGAAATTCAAGAGCTAACCAGGAAAGGGTTCGCTCGACGGCTGCTTCCTAGATGGAAGAATATATTTACCTATGTATTTCTGTGAATAATATAGTCATTCGACATTAAGAAAGAGTTTTATCAAATGTATTGTAATGAACCTTTTAATCCTCATGTTGTTCCACTCCCATTCGATTACAATATCTTAATAAATGCGTCAGAAAATTGTTGGAGCAATCGCAAACCTAATTGTAAAAGTAATCACATTTGTTGCACTTGAATGCGTTGTCGTTGCCCCTGCCCCACCGCTAACCAAGAGACGACCGACCCGACGCATGAGAAGCTCCCATCTGACTGTGGTCACGCATAACCTTCAATTAAGTTGTCATAATGTCTGACAGTCACGGACAACGGTACAACGGTTAGGGGACGATGAAACAGGGGACAATCCGGACTTCTACAGCAATATAATCACATCACATCTGGGTAGTTTAGAACGAGATTGTGCAATGGCATGATCATGACTGGTTCAGCAATTGCAACACAGTCCGAGGGCGCGGATAAGACTTGTATAAATCGGTTGAATATAATGAGTCTCCTTTGGGGGATAGCCCTAACTGCTTTCGTGCTGTAAGTACTCCTAATTATTCCAATAAAATTTAAATTTAGAAAGTATTTCTTATATAGACCTTATAACCAATAATATGTACATATCTATTCGATTCCACACACACCCACACGAATATGACAAGGACCCTACCCTCACACACATACATACACATGTCAAATTATGTAAATTTACAACATGATTAAGCTCGTTTAGCCGGACTCCCGTCCAAACTCGGAGTAAGTAGGCCTCAATGTCGTCAACGGTTGGGTCTCCGCCTGTGTTTGTTTTGCAATTCAAATGAATTTGCTTCAGATCCAGAGGGGGTTTTGGCTCTGGGACTGGTGACTGGGGACTGGGGCCTGGGACAAGGGACTGGGACTTGGGTCTGACACTGGGACTCTCACTCCCCTCTGCACATTTGGCATGTTTGTTTCAATGTTTAGTTGTGTGTGTTTGTCTGTCTGTCTGTCGTACTTTCCCCTGTCGATCCCACACTTCCGCTTTGGTTATATAAATTCGTACAAATCGTTCGATGGCCGTTTGCTCTGTTCTGTTGGTCGAAGTATCAATTGTTTGGCATTGGTCTTTATTTATGCATTGTTGTTGCCTTCGTTGTAGTCGATGTCCTGTAGTCCATGTCCTCTGTAGTCCTCTCCTATCCTGGTGTGGCCTATCCGATGTCTGCATGGTGGTCTGTGTATTTTATTGCTTATGGTTATAGTGGGGATAGAGGCCTGCCCGCACTCTGAATGAATTTATATTGTTTTTGAAGTGTTTAAATGTTTGTCCATGTTTGTCACAGCGCCCGGCCTGCCGTATGCGGGCCGGGCCGGGCCGTATGCGTAATGCGAATTTATGCAGGCTTAATGTTAATACTGGACTGGGCTGGGGTGGAAATATGCAGATGAAAGAGGGAAATACCCCAATGGCAATTTTCTCACTTCAATGGCAAGAGATTGAAGTTTATGCAAATAACACTTTGAGGGGGAAGATTTTGATATAAGTGATAATTAAATAAGACAAAGTCAACTTTAATTCGAGGCTAATAGACAGCAGGAAAATGTTGAATTCCAGAGAAATTTTTCTTCTTAAACCCCAAACCAAAATCTCACCAACTAGCCACAACAACTTCGGGCAAATCAATATTAATTTCTGGAATTTACTCATCCATAAATTTATTAATAAGAAAGAAAACAAAAAAGAAAAGCGAAACAACAATCTGTAATATTTTCACAATTTCTGCTGCTGTGGTTTTCTCTCGACGCTTTAATACTTTTCCGCTTTCCACTCTTTTGACCGATTGTCGAATCGAGGAAAAACTTTTGCAACTTTTGCCGCTTGCTGCATTTGTGCGGCATCCCTCCTTCCCTGAGACCGAATTGTCTCGTTCTGTACAGCTAATGCCTGTACTCGTGCTTTCTGTCCCCAGTCCTCAGTCCCTCCGCCAGTCGTAGGACTGCTCGCCTTGTGTTATGTGCTTATTATAAAATAATTAAGTCCTTTAGGAAATTATAGTTCTTGTTGCTCTGCTTTGGTCTGCAATCTTTGCCCCGTTGTTATCCTCTCTCCCTCTTGGACCTCTGTGATTTCTGCGCTTTTTCCCCTACATTGTTCTTTTGCTTTTGTGTTCTTAATAGTTGTGGCTTTTTATTCTCCTTTTTTGCGCTTGATTACTCATATATAAGTGTCTCCAAGGAATGAAATAACATAGTAATGATTGCCTCAAGCTTAAAAAACTCTACATAAATTGAAGGAAAGTCTCCGAATAGTTATTTTTTACGTGGGTAGATGTGTGTGCTCCATTATGCTCTACCCACAGACCGACACGACACGACACACACAAATTCATTTTGTCTTCATTCTACTTGTGGGCTGCCACTGGCATATGAGTAATTTATTGTGTATCTAATTAATTATTGCTGTCTGTGTAATTTTTGTGCTACAGAATGAATGTGCCTCTGTCTGTCGGACTGTCTGTTTGAATGCCCCATCTGTGTGTGTGTGCTAGTATCTGTGTAGGCAGCATCGTTAGCATTGACTTAATTGTCAAGCCACAGAATGACTCTATTAGGAGTTCAAAACCTATTCGTATCTTGAACCCCCGGGCAGGCCCTGGCACTGGACATGATCTATGTGTATGACATGTGCCCTACAGCTCCAACTTCAGCTCCAGCTGCACTTAAATTGATGTATACTCTGGCCAAAACAGCTAAAAGTCTCTTTAAAAATGCCCTGCACCGTTGTGCGACGGTTGTGCCAGAGTGAAGACCCATCCATTTTTGCATGCCACGGAGTATGACAAGTGTTGGCCAGCTATAAACAGGAAGCAGGACACCCAGGACACGCAGGACCCTTGATAGAGGCATGGACACTGACACCGACACCCTGCCAACGAGCCATGAATGGCCCTTTAGTCAATGTCCATGTGGGTGTAAAAACCGTTTGAGTGTGGGGTTTTCTATGAGTGTGTTTGACTGTAGAGTTTCCTTTAATAGTGCTGGTTACTTTTAGGGATCTCTGCTGCTGTTCCACGAGCATTACCCATCGCACTTTAAGATATCAGTGCACTGACAGCGATTATCGCATATCAATTACCCAATATTCCATGTATTCTAAGCGCAAACACGTGCCGATATTGGGATATAATCAATTTGCGATGACCAAAACCAACCGACAGGATTTCGCATTCCCAGCATCATACTGATTAGGTTCGAAGGCAGTTTGCACTGATTTGCTTGTGCATTTACCTGCAAGAAGGTACTACATTCCATTCAAGCGGAATGTTGACCCAGTAAACAAGCAGTACAGCAGCGACAGCCGGCCGATAATCAGGGTGCAACGCGTTTTGGTCCATTCCACAGAACGTGACAAGGATGGCAAGGGCCCTACTGCTACTGCTACTGCTGCCGCTTCTGCTGCTGACCTGTTCGCGAAATGGAAAGCAAACAACCTGTCGCCCGACAAAAGAAGCTAGCTGCAAACTCCCAACAGCAAATTCGCCCAAGCCCAATCCCTGGCCCAGTTCCTGGTCCAAGACCAAGTTAATGAATCGTAACCCACTTGCAACCATATGAAAATTAATTACCGAACTAGTTCAGAAAACTTTCGCCACAGCAAAAGTTAAACGCACCGAAAAAAGTTAACGGGAAGCCAGAGAGCAGAGCCAACCAATCAATTTTCGTCTGCGACAAATGGAATGCTGCAAATGGCCCAAAAAATCGTTAATCAAATTAAAATTTATTTCGTATTTTGGCCCGAAACTGCAGCGCAGACATGGTCCAGCAAATTTATCATGGTAGCCAGTGTAAAATACTGCAGATACTGGCATCCACTGGATGTATCTGTATCTAAATGTGTCCATGTGTACGAGTATCTGCGTACGTGTCCGCATAATTTTGATGGTTCGTTTCGAAGAGATTTTTTGGTCATTTTTCGTTTGTTTTGTCGACCAGGCGGCGCATAAATTTGCATCTCAATTGGTTGTTGGCCGTTGCCTCTGCCGTTCCCCCTCCTCCTTCTCCTCATCCTGTTGGGACGCTCCTTTTTGACCAGTGTTGCCAACGTTCTTGTTGTGGCTGACGATTTGCCATTTTAATTAGGCAATGTCCTGTCAAAAGCAGCCTCTGGCTGTGGCTCTGGTTATGGGCAGAGAGAGATAGACTCTGATTTGACGGCTGTTTCCGGTCAACTGTTTGTCCAGTCAAACAAAGTGCGGACAAAATCGCTTTGCTCCTGGCTGCCCCCGTAATGGGGGGCTTGCCGCAATTGGCGGCCAAACAGTACATAGTTTCTCCTGTAATCCAGCATTATGATAGAGTTTTGTATTAATATTAAGTTAAATACCTGATTTCTATTAGCTTTAATTAATCCTGATAGCAATGAAAAGTCTGGTAATTAGGAGAGTGGTATTTCCAAGCGCATTCGTATTTTTTTCTTATTTAAAAAACAGAAAACTTTTGCATTCGTTTGACGTCCACACAAGCATACAAAAACTGCAACTAAATAATTGTCAAAGACTGTGCGAACGTCAATATAGTACAACCCAAGCGCATACATGCGCATACAAACACACACATGTGTCCACAGACGGGGGACCCGGGGACCGCGCAGCCGTTGCCGTTGCCGATTCCGTTTCCGCCTTTTGCATGGCGAGTGCGTGTCTGCGGCTTTTGGCCATGAGTTTTGCATGTCTGTGTGAGGGATTGTGGGTGACTGTTGACAATTTTGTGGTCAACTGAAGTCAACAGGAATACAGTGTGACCAAATTGCTGATATGTCAACCCAAAAGATGTGGGAGAAGGAAAAAGGTACCAATTATAGACATTTCTAGCTCTCCAATAAACCGATTCATTTAACTTTTCGTCCACAAATTTCATTCTCAAAGTTTCCCAACTACCTGTTTCGACAAGAGCACATTTATTCCAAAAATAATAATTGAATATAAAATAAATTTTAGCAAAATTATATTATATAACTTATCAAACTTAATTATAAGGTCCATTTTGTGGCTTTTAACTTTTTAAATGCTACGTTTTACCAGGGAAATGTCTCCTCTAGCAACTGCAATTTCTCTGCCCAACCTGCAACTTTATGAGGCTGGCCATTTATTTTCCTGCCTCACGGTTTAGCCTAAGCCTTGGCTTCATTAAGTTTTCCCATTGCGGTTTTTAATTAATTAATGTCTTCATATGTAGCACATACTATATGTGGTAGGGGCCTGTGGCACAGTTTACGGCTAAGAAGGCAGCAACCAGACAAAGTATTAAAACTAAACCCGGCATGTAGGCACGTAATTAAAAAGTGTGTGTGTATGTGTGTGTGGGTGTGTTGCCATCGTCCTAGACGAAAACTTATGCTCAGCCAAAGGAGAGCCAAAGAAGCTGAAAACTGAGTCAACAACTTTCTATTTTGTCAATGAGCTGCAGCTGCAGCTAAAGCTAAAAAAAGGCAGAGTTAGGGTCGGAGTTAGAGTTCGAGTTAGTGGCATGAACCTCCTGTAAATGACACACTCTGCATATGAAACGAAAAATAATTTTTCAATTCACAAATGAAACTTTTGACACACACACACACACACACACACGCTTTTTACAAAAAAGGAGAGCAAACTTTAAACTTTGCACCAACAGCAGCAGTTCCCCAATGTAAAGTGGTAAACCAGGAGAGAGGGGGGCCGAGCAGGAGGGTGGGGAGGTCCAGCTGCAATTGGAATACTACTGTTCCGTTCCACAGTACGACCGAGTATGTATTTCTTTGGGGTCGGTGGGGTTTTTTGTGTGGCACTCCTTGCTGTTTTTCTTTTAGCCACGGCACAAACTCCAGAAGGAAATTACAAACCAAAGTAAACGCCAAGAGCAGCCAAGGAAGTTGTTGACGCAGGACGAGCGCCGGCGCTGAGTGTCAGTGTCATATCCTGTGCCAAAAGTGCACACAGAACACCAGACCCCAGGCCAGACCCATAACCGAGAGCCAAGCGCCAAGCCCCAGTCGAGTCGGGTCGAGACAGAGACTGAGGCTGCACATTACAAATGAATAATTTATGCGCGCGCTCTCAACGGCAGATGGATGTGGGCTAAAGATGGGAATGGGTATGGGTGTGGGTATGGGTGTGGGTATGGGTGTGGGGATGGGAATGGGAGCCACTGCAGACTCCTGCCACCCATAGACACAGTCACGGAGGACTGCGGCAACGTCCAATCCTGGTCAATGCCAAATGAGTTGTGGCAACGTCTCGCTGGTGCCATAAAAGAGAACAAGGCAAACGGGAAGGCAAACGGGAAGCTGTTGCTCTGCATAAACTAAAATCGTTTGCACCGAAAAACCACTCCCCTCTCTACCCTCTCTCTCCCCAACAGCATGCCAAGACCAAAGAGGAGCAGAGCAAATTACATGGCTCTGGTGTGAAAATTATCTCCTTGGCAAAGCGGCAAAGAAGAAAGCGGAAGAAAGCGCAAACTCAAAAGTTATTAGAGCAAATTTTTGCCTTTTGCCTAAGTAATGGCCAAGTGCATATCTCTCAGCACATATTGAGTTATGACTTAATTGGATAAGAGCCCGCTAGGCGAAACTTTGCACTACCATTCGCTGGCCCATAAAGTTAGCCAGCCCCAAAGTTCAGGCAACATTTTTCCTGGTTTCTGGTTGGTGCCGTGGAATGGATCTCGTAAGACTGTGATTATGTCCTCGGTGAACCCTAAGTAATTTCTCTTGATTATCTTGCTTTTCCAGAGACCCAAAATGCAAGCACTCTGGTCTCAAGATTAGAGTGTTTCTTGCTTTCTCGATAGTGCAATTCAACGCTGATTGGCATATTCCCATAAGTATAAAACTTTGCTCTCACTTGATAAATACGACTTCAAACCAATTTACGTCACATTTGATAAGGTTTTCGCTTTGTTGGATTTGCATTTTTAGCGGATGTATACATATACCCCCGAGCGTCTGTGAATGGCGGAGCGATACGAAAAATACTATATTTTATTGTTTAAGCTTAGTCATTTTTAAGGAAATGGTACTGATTTGGATTAGGATGCTAATAGATTCTGTCTATATGGTTTACAATCTCATATGAAAGAAACACAAAAGAATCTCCAATCAAAGCAACTTTAATGCAAATACGCTACCATTTCCCTATCCATCTCCCTAGAAGCCGCTTTCGTGAACACCTAAAATACACACAGCAAAAAAATATATATGTATACTTATATAGAAGGAATCAAGGATATAGAAACACCGACAGAATGGCAGTGCGATTTGTGCTCATTTGTCAATGCACTGGTGTGCTCCGTTGCCGCCTTTCGCTCCATGTCGCCCCTTCGGCTATGCCCCATGCCGCCTACCGAATGCAGTTTGTAGCTGTCTTTGCATTTGTCGATGTTGCCTGCCATTTTGTTAGAACACGGAACACAAAACAATACCATTGTCAGTTGTTGCTGCTGCCTCTATCCATTTGGTACATGCTGTTGGGATTTTAATTTATAATTCAACACTCGAACATGTCGTCAAAGAGTTTCATCAATATGTACTCTAAAATCAACAGCGATTCACAGCGGCGTAAGCCGATTAAGCTATTCGGCTATCCAGCTACTCTATGGGACTTAATCTGTTGTTTTAGAGAGGGGAAAATAACTATTTGCCCCTGTCTGCAAAAGACTCTATCAGCAAACATTTCTTTGATTAACTTCAATTTGTGGTGCACATTTTTTTTGGCATAGCCAAAGCATTCAGCAGGCCAACAACTATTCTGGCAGCCACTTATTTCAAATTCATGGTTATTCGAAAATGCATTTTTTTATTGACTCGCATGCTTTGCAGCCGAAAGTGCTCAAAAATGTTGTTTATCAGAGCACATGAAAAGAAACAAACTGCCAGAAGAATCATCATCATACAAAATCGTACAGTAAAAGAGCTCTCAGGAAAAGAGAACGGACTCTCTGTACAATTAATTGTGCTCTTTTTGCTTGTGCCCACTGTGCTGTAGATTTCTCAAACCATAAGATTTTTCATTCGATCGCATTTCATTACTCTTGTGATCGTTGAGTAGAGAAGGTCGTTGTGACATCTCTCAAAATGTTTCATTGCGAAGTTTTGCTTTTAATTTGTTGGTTGTTTTTCATGACCTTCACTATCGGTGCGTAGACAAAACGTAAAGACAATAATGGCATATTTGAATGTATATTTAATTTAAAGTGCATGCTACCTGGAAATGTAATGATGGACAAGAGCTCAGCGCCTTCAGCAAGAGATGCGATGCCCGAATAGACTGTTCTGATGGCACTGATGAAACCTTTCTCGAATGCCACAAAGCGAACTGCACAGAGCATCAGTGCTCGTATGGCGGCTGCTTCAGCGAGAGCCAGCTGTGCGATGGCACCCCTGACTGCTGGGACAAGACGGATGAGCATCCACACTTTTGTCACAAAGAGCTAATGACAGAACCAGAGCCCATGAAGACTTTTATCCAGGAGAGATGCTTGTAAAGAAAACGATGTAGTGATCACCGCAAAGCGCCTAATTAATAGTGTTTTTTAGGGAGAATCAGAGTAGATGCTCTAGAACGGAGTGTTTGGATAAGAAGTATTTCTGCGACGGCATCAGGGATTGCCCGGATGGCAGCGATGAAACCAATGGGAACTGCATTGCTACCACATGCCCCAGTGGCACATTTCGGTGCGCCTACGGTGGCTGTCTGGAAAATGCGAAGGCATGTGATCATGAAATCGATTGCTGGGACGGAACCGACGAAGTGCCATTCATATGCTTTGAAATGCGGGGAAAACCGCAGGGCAACTTGTGGCCCAGTCACATCCCGAGAAGGAATACAACAAGCCGGACCACATCGCCAGTGTTAGTTTATCCAAAAGTGAAAACTGCCTCGAGTGCCCCTGAGCCTTCGTCCGTCAATGGTAGTTGCATCGTTCCTAGCAGCCTCAAGAATCTGCATCTGAAAACACTGTTCAATGTGCTGCCCTATACGTTTGGCTCATCGATATCCGATTCGGTTGTGGTGCGATTGAGCTGCTATGGGAATAGCCAGCTAAATGGCAACGATCTAAACCACTGCCTCCATGGCATTTGGCAGGGACCCTGGCCCGAGTGCATTCCCACCTGCTCGCTCAGACCATTCAACAAAGATCTCTCCATTCGGGCTTTCTGCATGTACAAGGATGAGATCAGGAACTGCAAGACCCAGAACACCATTGGGACCTCAGCCACTGTAACTTGTGCTCCCGGCTACAAGCCCACTGATATAATCACTTCAGAGATCCGCTTATGCGAGAAGCAGGCTAGTTCTGGAATCGCCGACTGGAAGTTCATAAAACCAACTCGATTACACTGCATTCCAGACTGCGGCAAAATTCATCCAACCGTTAAAAATGATCCCTGGCTTGTTAGCATATTTCAAAGTGATGTCACATTGTCGAACTATACTTTCAAATGCCGTGGCATAATCGTCAGTCCATGGCGCGTTATCGCTGTAAGACTCTGCATCAATGAGGAGAATCCGATGCGGTATGCCATTGCCGAAGGAATTCAATTGGCCAGCTTTACGAAAAATGGGGAGCATTCCTATATGCTCCACAACGTGGCCAGTATATTTAATAGGTATGCTTTCTAAACATATAGTCCGATCATTAACCTTAATCCAAAATCTTTGCAGCCAAAAATTATCGCTTCTAAAATTGGTTAATCCCCTGATACTTTCGACATCGGTGCGACCAATTTGCATGCCGTCAAGGGAATACAATACGAATTCTTCGGAACTCACTATTACTTCGGATACTCAGAAGAAATATAGTTTAGTCAGTATCGAAGAATCAATGCTGAAACAGATAGACATGGATTTTCACTGACATAAATAAAAAAAAAAAATATAACGAAAAGATAATTTCTGAAAACACAAATTTCCAGGCCATTTCCTTTTCCCCGTTTAAAAACCATAATCATAGATCACCGATTTTTCTATCAAAAAGTTAGATACAAACAAATCAATGTAATTGTTCTACATTGTTCTTTTTTACGTTTACTTTTCTATTAGTTTTTTATTAGTTGTATTTCACTTAATTAAATAATTAATAATGGCATCCATAACATCTGAATTGCGAGCACCGACAGCCGGAATTGTACCGCACCTGAGGCCATGGGAAGTGATTGCTTGGTCCCAAGAGCAGCTCGGAGGCATCTACTCAGACTGGGGACTGTACTTTACTCGCCATCAGCGCTTCGCCCAAGGAATTCATTATTTGAATAAAGCCTTGGACATCAATGCCAACGACACGAATACTCTAATGAGACGCAGTAAAGTCAAACGGTTGAGGGGCTTGGCCCCCGAAGCCCTCAAGGACTGTACCCAGGCAGAAGGTATGAACGATCTTTGATGGAATATAGAATCACGTTTACTAAGTTTTTTTGAGTGACTTCAGCCATCCTGGGATGGTCGATGGGTGACATTGCCAATCCACATGTTAGAATTGAGATCTCTGATGCACTCTACGAGTCGAATCGCTTCGAGGATGCCAAGATGAATCTTCACAATTCTCTGGGGCTGTTCAGTGGCGCCCAGGCCAAGCCCAGTATCAACCGACTGGAAGTGGTATGCTCAGAACAATCAATCCCCGATCCCAAAAGCCTCATTGCAATCTCTCACTTCTTATTCAGGTCGATGAGAACTTTAAGGAGATGTTGAGTGACGAGACCTCACCGGCAGTGCAGCGCCTGATCCGTCGCATGATTACCGATCAGGCCAGGCAGCCAAAGCCAGTCGCGGATGATTGCGATGTTGTTAGCATTTTGGAAGTTCCGGTGAGCCAATTAATATTAATCTTTGTACTCTCTAAGATCTCTAATATATTCTGTGTCTCAAATGTAGGAAGTATTTGTCTCTCCACTGGAACAAGCCAGACGGAAGCGATGTTTCAATATCTACAATCAGACGTATCTGGATAAATGCTGGCTGGATATGGCCTACCTCAAGGATCTGCGTGGCAACCCCAATGTGCTGCCGAAACACTCAAAACAATCTTCGCCCTATTTGAAGAATCTGATGGATACAAATTACACATCAGCGCGCACTTTAACGGTTTGACCACTTTCATTTTCATCCATTTTGAGTGCTCCTAAGAATCGGATTGTTTTTGTATATAGAAAATGCTGCAAGCACGTTGCCCCATGTACGCCAAGTATTACCAACGATATCCGAACGAGGAACTGCATCATAAACAACAGGAGGAAAATCTATACAGAATTCAGTATCAGACGAGGAGAAATATGTTCAAGATTTTGCGAAGCATTCGGCATTTGATACAAGTCGGTTCATTAGATGTGAGTGTTTCTTTTGGTTTTGGGTTTTTTTTTCTAATGCTTCCTCCCACAGAAACTGTCAACATTTGTTGAGGAGGTTATGGGCGATTATGTTACCGTTAAGACGCATCGCACAATGCCATGGAAATTTGAATTCATTAATGAGGTCTACAACTACTTGGGTTTGGCCCGCATTAATGAATACAAAATTCCCAGCGATATGACCGTCTTAAAGGGCAAACAACGTCTATTGACACTCTTCGGACTGCCCCATGAAATGAATATAAATGCGCTTAAAGAGAATCCGAAGCAGAAAAAAACGATGAACGTACCAAGAACCGATTTGAGGGATCCCAAGACTGAGTTGTTCAAGTGGGTATTACATTGCTCTGATTTTGCACTCTGATTGAATTGTTATTTAATTGCTTTTCCAGGAAGCTATCTGCTCGCTATGAGAGCCGCATGAGATTCGCCAAGTATCCCATAGAGCGTGCCTATCTGCTGCATGAGCTGGCCCTAGCCCATATGAACAATAATTCATTTAATATGGCTGTTTCACTGGCTCGCAAGGCAATGGAGGGTGAGTCAGGAGTGTGATTACGATTAGAGTTAGATACATATAAATTCCAATTCCAAATTCTCTTGTTCGACAGAGGCCACCAGATGCAACAGCATTGTGTGGTGCTTCCTGAGTCTGATAGTCATCTGCAAGGCGCACGCAATTATGGAGAAAGTCGAGAACCAGAAGGATGTACTCGCCGAAGCCTTTGAGTTGGCCAAACGCCTCAAGAACCTGGATCTGTGCCTGTTCATCGATATATGCATGAAGGTCAATGCAGAGGAATTACTGATAAAGAGGATGACAATAAGAAGAACGGGCATGAAGTCGGGTCGGGATTCTTCTGATGAGGGTATCGACTAAGCTGCATATCTAAAGAAGACGCTAAATGTCCTCCCGGTTTTGAGACACGCTTCGGGCCAATGCCCCTTGATGGATACCACGAAAAGTCACAGCTAAATTACATAGAAGAAACTGTAGAATCTGTAAATGTGACAGGGAAATATATTCCGTATGTAATCTATTATTTTATAATACTTTTTAAGCTTAATGAGTTACTGGGGGTCTGTGGGGGTTTGGTTGTACTAGTGGCACAAGTTTGTCGCCGGAAAAAACTTTAAAGTGCGACTTTCCTCTTGTATTTCCGGCAGGCCAAAAACTTTATCTCAATGAGAGAAACCTCAAACACATTAACGGCTGCTGGTGTTGGCCATTCAATCACAGCAAAGTGCAGCTGCAGAGCAGAGCAAGTACTGCTCTGCCAACTGGTTCTTATATATAAATAGTTGATGCTGCCTTCCTTTCCTTTCCTTTCCGACTCCGACTCCGACTTTCCTCTTGATTCCGTGTTGCGTCGTGCTGTTGGAGGCGGCAACCTTTTCAGTGTAAACTTTGCCAACAATTTCGGATTTCAGAGGGGGAAAGCTGGGATCTAAGCGTGAATCAGACTCTTCCTCTCTGCCGCTAGTTTTTCCTGGTGTCTTGCCACCTGGCGGCGGCAGGAAGTTCCGAGCAGCATCGCATACAAAAGACGCAAATAAATGAAGCCATTTGTTGTGTTTTTAGCTGATTTTCGATGCAAAGGTTTGGCCAAAAGGTGGCAAAGTTTTGCACCACCTGGCAGCACCAGCACCAGCACCACCTCTGCCTTTGAAAATTGTTGGCAGTTCCCATTACTTGCTTGTCATTTAAATTTTTCCCCTCGCATCGTCCGAGAGCTTCGGGCTTCGTGTGTTTTGAGTGGATTTTTAAATCCGGCACGCCAAAAACTTTCCGCTCTTCCTCGACTTTTGGCCGCTGTTTCGTTCTGCAGAAGGTGATGTACGTGCTACAAATGATGCTACAGCTACATGCAACGGAAGTGGAGAATTCAGCAGAGGAAATCATTTGTCGACCTTTTTGTCAGCTGTTAATTTAGCAATATTTTCACCTGCCTCTTCGGTTGAGATTAATTACATGGTGAAGCTCTCAAGATTGAGATACTGAATGCTAAGTAGGTTGAAATTGTTCTCTATCTTGTGTATATTTGCCATGACATTACGCTGCACCCTAGGGGCCTCATTATCCACTTTAAAAGGAGCTTTAAGGCCACCGCAAAATGTTCAGATCCCCATCATCAGAGTGGCAGCTGGTAAGCATCGGGGAATGTCTGCATTGTGCTTTGTGTGTTTTATGAGGCAAAACTACACAAAGCCAAATAAGAACAAAGAATGCAGAGGCAGGCAACAAAGAGAAACAGCAGCAGCAGCAGCAGCCTCCGACAGCAGCAGCAAGGAGCCAACTAAAATTGAAACTCAACTTTGTAGACACACCGGAGGCTGTTGCTCTTGTTGCAACTGCCACTGCGGCTGCTGTTGGTCTGTTGCATGCCATAAAAAGGCCAAAGAAATTGCTTGCAAGCAATTAAAAGCGCAGCAAGGCAAATAAATGGCCACGCCCACGATCAACGCCCCACAACTGTAATAGACTTAAGCTAAACGGAGTCGTCAGTGGCTGTTGCTGCAGATGGCAGGAGCTGGCTTGTCGCAGGAGCTGCCTTACAGCCTTGCTGTAGTTACCAACTTGACGTACTAGCTGACTAATTAGTCATAAAATTACACGGACGCAGGACGACGGGAGAAAGTCGAACAAAGGTCTGGCAAACATAGCAGAGGTGGTCCGACAGAGGGAGGCTCCCCAGTGGCCAAGTCGAAGTGCACTAAGAGGCGCCGGAAGCAGTTGGCGGTGACGGAAATGCGTGCCATCTCCCTCACTCACACACATGCACTTGCATACGTATATAGTATATGTATGTGTCGAAGCCTGGACCAGTATCCTGGGCGTGGGCCTGGGCCTGTGCCATTCCTTATGCTTGGGGCGTTTTGTCTGCCACTAATTGCTGATTTCCCGTGCCGCTGGCTATGGAAACGGTCTGAAAAACTAGCGATGGAAGGGTAGGGTGAATGCCACAAACTACCGATTGCATCACTAAGAACGGAAACAGTGTGACCATCCCCCATGAGCGCACACAGAAACTTCACACACACACACACACACATACACATACACCTAACCAAAGCGAGGCCGCACATTTGCCACATCACTTATTAGCTTTATTGCTTTTAACAATTTCAACTTCCACTTCCTGCAAACTGGATGGCTGCTAAAACGTGTGCTGATTAGTGGCACATACTCGTACAGCCAGGCACACACACACCCCCAATGCCAGAGCCAGAGACAGAGGCAGGGCCTGGAAGCGAGAGGCAGAGCCATAAATTCCTGAGCTGCAGGCAAAACTGCAGCCAAAGTCAAAGGCAACCAAACCAGATGAGACCCCGCCCCCACACACAGGAACAAGCCAGAATGATAGTAATACGAGTAGTGGGAGAGAAAGAGTGGGTGCAAGGAAGACTTGGGCCAGGCAGACACATGCAACATTTAACATTGCAGACAATTTATAAGGACATTCATGGCACACGGCGATGGCGATGGGAGAGAGGCCCAGGCACATAACTTGGCACTCGGCACAATGCGAACAGCTCCGTTCTGCCCCCATCCGGTGCGGCCATGTGTCCTGTTTTAGTTTTTTTTTCCCCCCTTACTCTAAGGCTCCCTCTGGGACAGCACTCTCTCTGGTCCGCTCGCATTGTATGTGAAATTCAACATTTAAGCCACTTATGGGGCAAGTTGAACTGGCATTTCAAAGGCTGCGTTGCAAGCAGCAGGCAGTAGTAGCAATGGCAGGAGCGGCAGGACAATGCCGGCTGGCAAGATTTATAGCTGACTAAGAGCGTGAGAAGAAGAGCGCCAGGAGAGTGCTATTCGGATCCAGTGGCAATGATAAATGCCACCACGAAAACGTTTAAAATGAAGCAATAATATTTAGCATGTAATAAATGGATTAAGACAATTACACTGGGGATATTCTCAGGGTGGACTTTTTCGCAAAACACCTACCAGAACTGAAGCAATCCTGCTTGCCGAATCTGCTGCCAATCTCATCCAATTTGATATCCATTCGATGCACCCGAAACTGGCTCAATCTGTCAAACCGCCGGACACTTAAATCTGCCAGGCAGAGAGCCAATTTTATGGCTGCAACTGAAGCAGCAGCTGGGCGGCTGTATAGTGGTGAATGTACGAGTAGTTACATTTTGTAGGTTAATGCATCGAAGACAGGACCGCCCAAACACATACACAAAACGATGTCCCAGCATCGACCCAATCCAGTCCAGAGTCCCTGTTGCGGCCAATTCTTTGGGGGACAACTTAAACTGTGAGGCAGAGTGGGCTGTGGGTTGTGGGTTACGGGTTGTGTGTTGAATGCATGCAAATTAGATTCGGGCGAGGTAGCAATGGGGCCAATCCGTTGTCCAGCCAAGCGACAAGGATAACTAAGCCACAGCCGCCTCGAACGGAAAGGGAACGATGCACTCCTGGAGGATTGGCTGCAAAAAATCCCAGGGAAATCTGCGGAAAATTAGATTCCACTCTCCCAGTGCTGCTCCCCCGAAAACTACTGCTACGTGCTGGCAAACCGATTGTTGGGTGGATTGCAAACTGTATTTATGACACGTGACCAGATGAAATTATTTGCGACCTGGCATTCTTAAATTGTAATTGTGGCATTTCAACCTCCTTTTGTGCCCAGACTGTGCCGTCACACGACATGAAAAAGGTGGACAGCTCAGGCACACAGGCAAGATTAAGTAAAATATGCATACACACACATATACGGGTAGGACGAGTACGAATACGAGTAAATGCAAAGTAGGGTGTAGGGTAGGGTGTCCTTCGATTCGTGGAGGGAATATGCGGCTGCTTCTGACAGTTCTGTTCGGTTGAGTCTTGGCTTTCTCCCGACGATGTCTAGATAATAAAGTCCCCTGACAGCTCAGATGTCATATTCGGATTATTTCGGTATGAGCATTTCTTATGAGACTCGCACAGCAGCGCAGCGATTACGCGACAAAGAAAAAGTCCAACGGGGGTACGAGTATTGTGTGTCAGCGAAGGAGGAAAACATACAAAAATAGATGAAATGCCAGAAGAACATGCACACATACGAGTATTTATTTGCCAAATGAGCTGCGTGAACAGTGGAAGCATATCAACTCATTTATATAAGAAATTATATATTCCCCGCTGAAAAAGGCCCTGCATTCCACTGTAGTTCAGGCATATCCTGCGGTGCTTCTTTGTGAGTTGAAACAAAAGCCAGAAAGAACCTTCCGAGGCAGTGCAGCAGTAATAAACTTCACATCCCTTGAAGCCAATCCCCATACCACATCCAGGTCCTTAAGTTTGATTTCTTTAAGAGCAAAAAGTAAATCAAATGAGTTTTCGCATGCCGCTGACAGATAGCATTCAATGCAAATGGCTCTGGTCTGGGCGCTCCACCCATTTATACAAAGACAAAGCTTATAAATGAATGGCCATGCCATGCCCAAAAAAAAACGCCCGAAACGAAAGACAATTCAATGCGTGACTTGACTGAACAACTGACGGATGTACTTGAAGTCAACTTCATTTTAATCAGCGACTGGCAGCGACGCCCAACTATTAAAAGGGAAACGTAATAGTGTGTCTGTCTCCTTGGCCTCGAGCCAGAGCAAAACCGAGACCCCTACCCTTATGCCGCCCACCTTTAGCTGGGGGATAACGATGAATTTGATAAGCCCCGGGTGATAAGGCGGCGCCGCGGCAGACGTTCTTCGACTCGACTTCAGTTCAAAATGGCGTCACAAAATACATTTTCAAACGAGCAGCGAAAACGTGAGTTGATTAGCAATAACCCGCTGGCTCTCTTCCTGTGTATGTATGTATGTATGAATGTACGGGTGCTGGCCCCGGGTGCCATTGTGTGGGTATCCTTAGCGCCATTTTGTTTCATAGCCGAGACAAGTTTAATGGGTGCTCTTAAAAGGTTTTCCCGGCACCCGAATACGGCTCCCGACACATTAGTGCTCGAGAGCGAGTCTGCTGCTGCTACTCGACGGATACTAAAAAATTGTATGCATCAAGATATA